GAGCGGATCGGGACCCTCTGCTGATGTCCTGCGTGACCACAGACCTCTGGCCCAACCTTGGCACTTAGTGACTATCGTGGTCCTGGCCTCCAGCACACCTGGCTGGCCTTGTCTGGGGTCCACTCTGGTGTCAGGCGGTCACCTTTATGCACAAATTCACCTTGTACCTGCAGTTGGTCCCCCAACACCATCCTGCGTGGTCCCTCCTTCCCTGTGGGGTGCTGCCGCAAGGGTGTCTGAGTGCCCAGGCTGGGAAGTCACTACAGCTCACTGCCCCTGGGGCCCCTGATCTGTTCACGGCCAGGCAGAGAGTGGGACGCTGCCAAAAGCAGCCACTGCAAACGACGGTGACAACAGTGCCGGAGTCATAATGCCACGCGGCGTTGTCCCACGGCTGAGCCACTGGTGGTGCCCCCTCCCCTGGCCAACCTGGGGCGGCACCGCCCAAGGTCACACCCCCAGCAGGGCCTGGACCGGCATCCAACTCGAGGAAGCCCCTCAGCTACCAGCCACTGGCGCTGACTTCCCCCCACCTTTCTGTCACATGAATGGCACAACATGGCGCAAACCAGGTTAAGGTGGGGTCTGGGTGAGGATCGTGCGCGAAGGTCACTGGGCTGGGCTGGTGAGCGCTCACGGGCTGTTTCACGCCTTAATTGCATGGTGCTCACCGCAGTTGCTAAATGTTAATTGACAAGAGCTGGTTCTTGATACATCATTTGACCACAATTAGGGTAATTACATCCCTATGAGAAGGTCAGTGAAAATGACCTCAGAGGGAGACACTGGGGTGACCAATGACTCGGTGGCCAAGTGGGGCAGGTGGGACTGGCCGGTCTCCTCTGAGCACCTATGACTGGCTAATCTCAATTATTTTCCAAAGGCTTGAGGAGAAAATTTCCTGGACGTGTTTGGGGAAAATGTTAACATTTTTCTGGAAGTGTTCGGTTTCTAAGGGAGGAGCATGATCCTTCCCTGAGTAGATTCAGAGCCTGGCTATTTGTGCAGCTGAACTGCTGTCAGTGCACATCTGGAAACCTCAGCTCTGCCGGGCTGTGTTAGTGGCTCAAAGAACTTGCAGCTGTGGGGAGCGCAAGGAGAGAGGGTCCCTCTGTCCCACGAGGGCCCCAAGCCCTGACGAGAGGGGTGATGCTCTCGGTTAAAGGATAGATGCCCACATTGGCGTCCCTGCAGAGACCTTGACCTATCGGATCCCACCTGGGGGGAGGCGTTGCAGCCTGACCTCACAGACCCCACAGTTCCCTGTGAACCAGAAAATCACTTTGCAGGTGACTGAAGCTCAGAAATGACCCCGACCCACAGCAATGGGACCCAGAACAGGCAGTCAGCAAGGGCGCTGCTGTCTGAGCCCCGCCCCGGCCCCCACGGGGCCTGCAGGCCCCCCCGATGTTCAGAGAGGCTGGGAAAGGCATCCAGTCCCACAGATCCCGGCCCCTTTCCCAGGTGATGGGTCGCTGCAGTTTCTGCCATAAAAACTCCCGGGTCAGAGCCACAGAGGTGGGCCTGCAGATGTCACCAGGCCCTAACAGTGGGCTGTGCTCTCCAGATGTGGGAGGCCACGTCCTGCCTTCCCTGGCCTCAGCCCCTGGCAGGACAAAGAAGGAGCGTCCAGGGGCTGCCCCTGGACTGTGTCGTAGACACGGACAGGCATCCACACCCGACCAGCAAAGGCTGGAGCCGGCCCCACGCTCCGGCCTCCGCCCCACGCCCAGCCCCTAGCTGCCGTCTCCCGGGGTGAAGAGGCCTCCCTGCATGGGACCCTGCTGGAGGGACGGGCAGGTGATTCTGGTGCGTTCTGGAGCTCTTGGATCCCACAGCTCAGCCTCGCTGAGGAAGCATCTGGACTTTACCCAACGGCTGTGGTGACCAGATCCCCTCCCCTGAGGGCACGGATATGGGGGAGCATGCTAGGCCCCTTCCTGGGTTTAACCCAAGGAAATGGTCACCGGGAAGCGGCCCTTCCCAGCCACCCAGGGGATAACCCACTGTAGGCTTTCCTCCAAGAACCTCCCAAAGACCACTGAGAGGACCCTTCTGGCTCACAGCCCCCACTTAGGGCCTGGGGCAGAAGGGTGTGGGTGGCTTGTGGACACCTCAGACAACCCCCCAAGGGGTCCCCGCAGGACGCTGACACCACCAGGCACCAGGAGCCCTGCCTGCCAGGGGTGCTTCATTTGCAGGTGGCTTGGCTGGGCCAGGCCGGGGGTGAGCAGAGGGGCCTAGGAGTCCCTGAGTGTCTCAGGCGCCAACAGAGAGCAGACGTGGGGAGCAGCTCGGGGAGCAGCTCTGCTGCGAAGCCCCCCACCCCACAGCTGGCGGTTGGTCAGGAAGACAGGAATCTGGAAATTCCCACTTCAGGGACCCTGTAGGATGTACCTGTGTGTCTGGAAGGGACAGCCAGGATGCTTTCCAAGATTCAGTCAGATTCTTCCAAGAACACCGCCCAGCAAACATTTCCACCCTAGGTTTTTTTTTTTTTTATTAGTGGACTTTATTTTTTAGGTTTACAGAAAATCTGAGCGGGTACAGAGAGTTCCTCAATACTCCTCCCTGCCCCGGTTTCCCCACGATCAACATTTCTCAGAGTGCGAGTGTTGCAATGAGCCAGACCGATACGGCATTATTAACCGAAGCCAAATCTACATTGGGGTTCGCTCTTGTGCTGTGTGTTCTGTGTGTTTTGAGAAACGCACAGGTTCCTGTATCTACCATGGATGGCCCTGGTTTTAAGGCGGCTGGACAGGTGGCAGAGCCCTGCCCTGAGCCTAGGATGGAGCATGTCACCCGAGCAGGCCTTTTTGAGCAGGCCTTTCCCCTTTGGTTCAGCAGCCACTCGGGGCTCTGAGACCCCAGGAGGTCCCTGCAGGTCGTTAGCTCTGTGTGTGAATCTGCAACTTGAGGGGGTCCTAACACTGCTCCTGCCTCTTCCAGGGAGGGCGATCCGGACCCTCCCCGGCTGGACAGGGCCTGGCGGGGCTGCGGTTTCATGCTTAGCTGGCACAAAGAGGCTGCAGTGTCCAGATGTGCAAGCGGCCCGGTGGGGGCTCCACTTTGCCGTTCCCGCAGCACTCCGCACCGGGTTCCTGCGTGGCGTGGCGGGGGCTGCGGAGCACGCCTTGAGCTCCAAAATGCACAGGTGTGTCCCCTGAGGCAAACCGGACCTGGAGTCTCAGGGTGACATCGCTTTATGTGCCCCGCAGGGTCCTTGCTCTGAGTTCTTCATTGGGTAGATTGACCTGCCCGGTTCCAGGGCCACTGTAAACAGCTCCTGACCCCGTCAGCACCCTGGATGGTCACTTTCTCCCGGGTCCTCAGGCCCTCACCCTGTGCACTCACCCTTGCCGGCTAAACAGTCCTGGCAGCCTCATAATTCCACGCCTCTCCCCGCCGCCCCTCGATACAGTCACAACCCAATTAAGGAGACTCCCAAACCTCTGCCACCAACAGGGCACAACATGCAAACCAGCGGGCTCCCCTCCCCACGCAGGTCACTTGAAATTCCTCCCGAAATGCGTCTTGGCTGGAAAAGCAATGCTAGAACGAGGTCAGGTTTCTCCACCATCTGATGCTGTTTGCGGCTCTGAGGCTCAGACTCCAGGAGTCGGAGGCAGAGCTGGCTGACGCCAGGGCACAGAAAGCTTTTGTGATCACAGGGCGGCTGCCTGGTGTGCCAGCTGCTCCCTCCCCCAGCCTGGTGGGCCCTGCGGGTCCTCCCAGGGGAGTTCTCTGGCATGAATCTCTGGCTGTTGCAGCTGGGGCTGGGGCTGCTCCAGTGGTTGCCGGCCGCGAGACAGTGGCCACAGCGGCCCCCTGGCCGAGGAGATGCCTCTGCAGAACACGGCTCGTCACCCCCTGTCCTGCTAGGGCAGGGTTCTCAGTAGGGAATTTTGCCCCCGGGAGCCTTTGGCAAAGTCCGGAGGCAGTGTGGATTGTCGACCCTGGGACGGGGGTTGCTGCTGACACCTGGAGCACGGGGCC